TCACCCGCGCAGCGAGCGGCCTGCGCGCCGCCCTGGGGAGCGGGGTCCGCCCGGACCCTGGGGCCCAGCGGGGGTGTGCCCTGCGCCCCTGAGCCCCCGGTGGCGGGGAAGGCTGTGCGCATTCCTCCGCGACCCTGCTGGTGCCAGTGCCTGCCTGTGCCAGGTGCTGGGGCCTCACGGTCCTGTCCTCGTGGAGCTTCTGCTCTTCTGCTCAGGCAGTGCACGGACCCACCTGTGTGGCCAGGTGGCCAGATTACCAGGTGAAGGAAAAATAAAACAGGATGAGGGAACAGAGAGTGAAGGGAGACCTCATGGCATCCCAGGGCAGGGGCTCCAGGCAGAGGGGCCCGCGGGTGCAAAGGCCGGAGGTGGTGTGCATGGGGCACTGTTCTCCCGTCGGAGGGCCTCAGCTCGCCTCTTCTTGCTGCTCAGGGCTCACTCATCCACCATGAAGGGCTCCCAGGCCATCAGTGGCCCCCCAGGGCCCTCCCAGAGCAGCCTGGAAGGCTTGGATCTGAGTCTGACGGGGCTCCCTCCACCCGTGTCCCGACGCCCCAACAGCGCCTCGGCTGCCAAGCCGATCACCCGCTCCATCTCTGTGGTCACAGGCAGTGAGTCGAAGAGGAAGGCCCTGGTGAGTGCTAGAGCTGGGGGCGTGCGTGGGTCCTGGGCCTCCCACCTCATGGGGAGTTGCCATCAGGGTGACATCTGACTCCGGGGTGAGCTCCACACCTCAGCGGGTACCTCACATCCGTCGCCCCGGGTAGCCCTGTGGCCTTTTGGAGGGCAGAAAGGACCAGGGAGGTAACTTACAGAGGTCAAGGTCAGGGTCATCTCGCCGGAGCAGAGCCCAGCTCTCCCTCCTGCTCCACCAGGGGCTGAGGGGCTCCCACTTCTTCCCAGGAAGGTGGGCTGATGGAGGCCTTGCCCAGGACCCCCAGGTGCTCCTGCCATTCCCCTCTTCTCACCCCACCCACCTCCTCCCTGTAAATCTGTTCTGCATGGCCCAGCGCTGAATGAATGGGCGAGTGTTTGAAACCTTGGCCACACGATTGGTGGTTTCCTCCCTTTTTGCAGGAGGCCACAGGGCCCGGGGGCTCCAGGGCCATCAATAACCTTCGCAGGTCTAACAGCACTACGCAGGTCCACCAGCCGCAAGCCAAGCAGGCGTGGGCTGCCCCCCTCAGGTAACCCCTGAATCCCTCAGGGTTTAATTCTCGGCATTCTTAGGTAATCCCCCACATTCTTGGATAATCTCTGGTCCCCTCAGGTAACCCCGCCTGTTCCTGTCCTGCCTCTGTCAGCCTTCCTTCCCGCCTCACCAGTTTGGGCAGTGGCAGGACTGGGGCCTGAAGTGACCTTCGTTTGGGGCCAGTCCTGGGTGGGGCAGGCAGGATGTCTTGGCCTGTTATATCTGCATGTGGGGGTGTGAACCTCAAGGCCGGTGTCCCCGGCCTACTCCTCTCCCTCTATCCTTGCAGCACTTTTCCTGGGGTGTCGGGGTGGCCACAGGACAGGGCCTCACCTCTTTCAACCACAGCTGTCAGATCAGGACCAAGAATCGTTATTTTGAGCTCCAGGCTTGGGAATAGAATCCCGGCTGGTGACCTGGCCACCCCCATCTGCATTCCTGGGGTCGCCTTCTGGGCCGAGGGACTGACTGTCCCTGCCTGCTGCCCTCTCTGACACAGGCCGGTGGAGCCCCCTGACTTCCTGACCGTCTTCAAGGGCAGCCCTGGTGGGAAAAAGAGGCCAGCCAGTCTGAGCAAAGCTTCTGGCCAGAAGGAGGCCACATGGAACGTCCTGGTAAGAGCCTGGACCACGTCTGAGTGTCCCATCGGGAGCAGCACCTGGTTCCCCCTTGTTTCACTGCCCTTTTGGGGGGGAGGGATGGGGTGTGTGTGTGCCAGCTTTGACCACATCATCACATCTGGGGAGGGGTAGGAACCCCACCCCCCTGACCACCCCATTGCCCCATTTGTGACTGGGGCCGTTGGGGCAGGGAAGGGGCGCGGTGTCAGCGGCATGTGTGGTGGAGTCCCAGGCTTAGGTGGCGTTCTGTGTTCACCAGCAGGACGACCAGCCCAGGGCCTTCACCTTACTGCCTGATGCCCAGAGTCCTGGCACCATGGACGTGCCAGTAGGCCCACGGAGGAGAGAGTGCACTGTTCCTCTGGCACCCAACTTCACTGCCAACAACAGGTGTGCCCTCCACAGGTGCCAGACATGGCCCACCCATCTGGGGGCAGATGCTTTGTGTTGTTTGTGGCCAGACCAGAATACGTTGGAGAGAGTGAAGAAGTGAGTGAGTGAGTGAGTGAGTGAATGACTAGCTCCCTACCCGAGGGCCCTGAGAAGGGGGCTGTAAAGGGGTGTCTTGCCCAGGCGGGCTCTGCACTGGCCTGGGGGAACCCAGACAAGCACTCCGCTGGGGGCTTCGTTCCTGAAGAGGCCAGGCCCAGGCAGGGCACACGTGGGCCCCAGGTGGCTTCATAAGGCTCCTCTGAGGTTGTTGAGTTCGAGGCTCAGCCTTGCTCAGGTCTACTTGGTGAAATACTCTGCTGGAGCTTTCCAGGTCCCAAGAGGGTCCCACTGTTGGGTGCAGTGGCCATGCAGGGGGAGACTGAGAGCATGACTTGGGGACCTGACGTCTGCCTTCCATCTCTCCCGGAAGGAGCAACAAGGCCGCCGTGGGCAACTGCGTCACTACCATGGTGCACAACAACTACGCCCCCGTGGACACGGTGCCCCCCAAGAGCTCCAACCACGCGACGCCCTCCCTCAAGTAAGGGCCTGGCTCTGGCCTCTGCGTGTGTGTGAGGACACTGGCCCAGGCCGTGTGAGCCCCAGTGCTGCCGCTGTCACCTGTAGGGTGCTGGTGAGGGGACACAGACCAGGCCTGGCAGGTTCACGGATGGGTACCGATGAGGAAGCCACAGCCACCCCATGTCCCGGGGCCCCTGGCTGAGTCCGGAGCCGAGGTGGGTCTCGGCAGAGCTTGGCTGAGCTGAGCTGAGCTGAGCTGAGCAGCCCCGAGTACGTCACCCCTGTGCTCAGTCAAGGACGGCCACAGAGTTTCCTGATGTGCCTTCCCGCTCTGCTTTGGAACCCTGTGGCTTGTGAGACCTTTTTGCTTTCTTTGTTGTTGTTAATCCTCGCAGGAGGATATGTTTCCCATTGCTTTTTAGAGAGAGTGGAAGGGAGGGAGGAAGGGCGGGGAGAGAGAGAGAAACATCGATGTGAGAGAGACACATTGATTGGTTGCCTCCTGCATGCGCCTGGACCAGGGCCAGGGATCAAACCCGTAACCAAGGTACATGCCCTTGACCTGAAATCAAACCCATGACCCTTTAGCCCGAGGGCTGATGCTGTGACCACTGAGCCAAACCGGCCAGGGCCCCTTTTGCTTTTTAAATGAACTGAACCAGGCAGGCACTTGGGGAGCAGGTGTCCGTGGGGACAGACCAGCATGTGGGAACAGGGAGCAGGTCCTTCCTGGCTCCTCATGGGCTGTGGTGCCTCCTTCCAGGGCCCAGTGGGCAGAGTGTTCCTGGGGCCATGAGCAGGGCCGGGTCAGGTGCCATGAACCTCTCTTTCCCTGCCCGTCAGCAACCTCATCAAGGCGGCCACACACGAGGGAGAGGGCAGCGGCTTCGGGAAGCCACAGAAGAACCTCGCCAGCAGCAACCACGTGGCCCGGAACAACGCGGGGGCCACCGAGGGCCTGCTCAGACGGAGGGAGGTGACCGAGGAGGAGGCAGAGAGGTGACTGCGCTGGGGCGGGAAGGGCGCCCGAGGCTCCAGCGAGGGGAATTCCCGCTTAATAGCCATTTAAAATACAGAGGCTGAAAAGACCACACGCCGTCTGATTCCATTCACCCGGGACATCAGGAAAAGGCAGATCTGTAGGAATGGCAGAGCCACGGTGCCTGGGGCCTGAGACCACAGTAGAGGGGAGAGGGTCCAGTGCTCCAAGGAGTGATCACGCACACTGGCCAGGGCCCCCTTACAGCCTTTGATCTAGCACCTCCCTGGCCTGACCAGGACCACCCTGAGCTGTCTCCTGCTGGCTTTGTCTTCTCTTGAATGCTTTATGACTGGTGTGCCTGGTAGTGCCCGCTGCCCCCAAGTACAGTGTTCGCTGTAGGCAGGTGGTGACCTTGGGGTATTTCCAGTTTCAGGGGATTGTGAATGGATGGGGACCGGTGGCCACCTGTGCATACGGCCGCCTGCTTGTCTGCCCTGCTGGGCCTTCTGGGGGGCTGGGGGAGGCTGTTGCTCATCCACTTGGCTCCTCAGGGGTCCTGAGTCCGCTCTCTGGCCAGGTTTATCCACCAGGTGAACCAGGCTGCCGTCACCATCCAGCGCTGGTACCGGCTTCAGGCGCAGCGGCGCAGAGACCACGCCGCCAACCTGGAGCACCTGCTGGCATCCAAGAGAGAGGTCAGTGTGGGTGTGTGAGCCACACCCCGGGCGCCAGGCGAGAACCTAGGGGTCTCAGCCGTACATGGTGGGGTTTCTGGGACCATAGGATTGAAACTAGAATGGCCCATGGCCCATACCCTGTCGGGAGCCCAACCTCTACCCTGCCCTGAGCTGCTTGCTCGGCCATTAGGGCCTGGGTATCAGGAAATGCCAGCTGGGTCCACCCCGGCTGAGAGTCCCAGCAGGTTTCTGGCTCTGGTTTCTGGTTTTGTATCAGGAGCTCCGTGATGCAGAGTCGTCTCCTTGTCCAAAGAAGCTGCCAGGAGGGAGGCTTGTCCTCTGTGGGGCAGAGACATGGCAGGTTGGAGGGCACGTGGAAGCCCCCACCTGGATCGGTCCTCCCATCTTCCCAGGGGCAGCAGAAGCGGCTGGGAGAGGGGAACCTGCTAGACTTGCACCGACAGAAGGAGGCAGCCAGGAGGAAGGCCCGGGAGGAGAAGGCGCGCCAGGCCAGACAGGCAGCCATTCAGGTGTGGGGAGGTGGCGGTGGCGGGATGGGGGGGACCTGGGCCGAGGTGGGACCCGTGTGCCTGAGAGTGACTGCACCCCTGGGGGGCCCCTGGGCACTGGGCCTCGGCAGTTTGGCTGGGGAGGGCTAGGGGCCCCACTGTCCTGTGGGTGAGGCTGCTCAGGAGGCCCCCCCCTCCCCCCAAGGAGCTGCAGCAGAAGCGAGCCCAGAAGTCAGGCCATGCTGAGCTTGGGCTGCTGAAGGGGGCCCGGGAGACAGGGAAGCCCCAGCCGGCCCAGGAGCCGCCCCTGCGGCCTGGAGACAGTGCTCCTCAGACCCACAAGGCCAACAATACTGGTGAGTTGAGTGGGGAGAGCCCAGAGGCTGCTCTGCCCCTGCCTCCTTCTGCCTCCTGCCTCCTGTTCCTGGGGGGTGGCGTTCCCCGCAGAGGGCTGTGGCCCCTGCTGCTCGGTTGTTGGCTCCCCACCCCCCCGTGGAGGGGGGGCCTCGGCGGTATGGCAACCCCAAGCCCTGCTCCTCCTCTCTTGCCCCACTTTCTCTGGAGCTGGACACAGAGGACCTTGCAGAGCAGAGGTCAGGGGTCCCCAATGTCCCATCTAACCAGCGAAGCCTGCCGAGCCTGGCCTCTCTCGGGTTCCTCCAGATGGGGCGGTGTGCAGGGAGGCTGACACTGTGTTTTGTTTCACAGGGGTCAGCCTCCGTACCCCAGGCCCAGAGGACCCCTGCCAGCCCGTCCCCGACTTCTCCCCAGAGCCCCGGCAGCACCCAGAGGACAAGCTGCAGGTCTGGTCACAGACCTTCCTGCCCTGTCCCTGTCCCTCCACAGCTGTGGTCACTCACCAGAAAAGGCTGCTCTACTGTGGGGATGGGGTCCCTGATGGCTCTGGGGTCCTGCTGGGTTGTCACAGATGCCCTGGGGTGGGATCCATGCCCTTGCACACAGAGAAAGCTGGAGGCTCAGAGGTTAGGTGTTGGCAAGGCCACCAGACTGAAGAGGCCAGGCCCTGACACATCCCACTTGGCTGTTCTTTTGTTTCCCTGGAGGTGGGTCTGGGTACACCCAGTCCACATGGCTGAGTGGGTGCCAGGCCTCACCCCCACGGTCCTCAGTGGTGTCGGCCTCTTATGGCCTCACTAGCTTCTTCCGCCCACCCATCTGCTATAGGACACCAGCTCCCAGGACGTGGCTGGTGAGGCCCTGGGGACAGTGGGCCCCATGGGGAGCAGGGCCAAGTGCAGGGCGACTCTGGAGGAGTTGCTGGACACACTGAAGCTGCTGGAGGAGGAACCGGAGCCACTGCCCCGCCCCAGGGCCTACCACAAGGACAAATATGCCTGGACTGACGAGGTGACCGTGGGCACCTCCCTTGACCCAGTCCCGGCACTGGCATCGTCCCACGAGGGGGCCGGGAAAGCCTACTGAGCTCCTTCTTGCTTTTCTTGGGCCCCTGATGAGCATCAGATGGGGCCTTGTTGAACCCCCGTCATGAGGGCTTGCTAAGGCTCAGCACCCTCAGAATGACCCGGGGTGGGCGTGGGCACCATCTCTCCAGCAGTGCTCTGCGTGGGTCTCAGCCACCTGAGAGGCCCTTCCTGACTAGGCCCAGCTGCCCTCCTGTCCCCTCCCCTGCCCCAGGGATTCCCAAGGAGCTCCTGGAGGGCCAACCCAGATCCTTGGCTGCCCAACAGCCCCCGGCGCTGTGCCCTCCCCTGCAGGAGGATGATGCCAGCTCCCTGACAGCTGACAACCTGGAGAAATTTGGGAAGCTCAGTGCGTCCTCCAGGCCCCCCGAGGATGGGACGCTGCTCTCGGAGGCCAAGCTGCAGAGCATCATGAGTTTCCTGGATGAGATGGAAAAGTCGGGGCAGGACCGGCCTGCCGCGGCCCCCCAGGTGTGGAAGGGTCCCCGGGAGGGGCGGACGGCAGCTCTTCCCCAGGGGATGGGACCTGCCTGACGCACTGGGTGCGTCCCCAGGGGCTCGTGCTGGAGGAGGGGCTGGGGCGCCTGGAGTCTGCGTCTGAGGTGAGCGCGTCTGTGAGGCGACTGAAGCTAGAGGTGGAGGAGAGGAAGCATGCGATGGTGCTGCTGCAGAGGGCGCTGGTAACGTCACCCCGCACTGCCCGTCACTGACCCTCACCGTCAGCCACCGCTGGGTGCATCCTGCCACAGGGCTGTCACCACCTGTCCCAGGCCACCCTCTGCGGCGTGGTCTGCCCGCGCCACCCCCGAGCGGTCCTTGTCCCCTGTGTCTCCATCCCCGCCCCAGGCGCAGCAGCGGGACCTCACCGTCCGGCGGGTCAAGGAGACAGAGAAGGAGCTGGGCCGGCAGCTGCGGCAGCAGAGGGAGCACTACGAGGCCACCGTCCAGCGGCACCTGTCCTTCATCGACCAGGTGACCCCACCTGGGAAGCGGGCGCCGGGGCCGGGGAGAGGGGCCGGACTGCAGACCAGCTCGGGCCCCGGGGAGACTTCCACGCCCACAGCCTTCCTGGCCGGGCGTTTTCCTCCCTTCTCTGGAAATGGGCTGTGTCTGCCCCTGTGGGGATGAGGCGTCCAGCGCTCGGTGGACTCGTCCAAGGCTCCCCAGCCCCCACAACCCTGCTTCCCCAGCCCAGCCTGGTGGACAGGGCACACCCGGGCTGGGGTCACTGGGAGGACCCGCTGGTGGGAGGCAGCCACAGGACACACCCTCTGGGCTGTTCCTATGCTTTCTGGGCTGTTGAGTCCTGGGTGGCGGCTCCCGTCTGTGGGGCTGGTGGGCGGCCAGGGTTCCCCAGGTGAGGGCTGCAGAAGCTCCCAGCCCTCCTGGCGCTCAGCCACGCCTCTGCCGGGTCCTGTTCTGGACAAAACGGCAGGTCTGTGAGGAGAGTAAGGAGCCAGGTGGCCTCCAGTGGTCATTAGAGACACTGTACTTGGTTGTTGTAGGTGTGTCCAAACTGAGGCTCTGCCTGGAGCCCTCGATGAGGCTGGTGCCATCCTGGGGCCATGGTGGAGGGGCTCATAGCCAAGGCCACTGTCCCCAGCCATCCCCATCCTGGCTTCTCTGGCACTAGTTGGAAGCCCTGAAGGGTGGGGAAGTGGAGGGGGCTGGTGGCAGCTGCAGCCCCTTGTCCACATGCACACAGCCCTCCCAGTCTAGGTGGGAGGGAACCCAGGGGCTCGGGGTGGTGGCCCCGGCCCTATGTGGTGTGCCGGCCCCCAGACAGGGGGAGGTAGGAGTCACGCAGGGTGTCAGGGATCATGCGGAGGGTGGGGGGCTGACCTCAGCGCAGCAGCTCACCTCCCGCTCCTTGACCGCAGCTGATCGAGGACAAGAAGACCCTGGGGGAGAAGTGCGAGGCTGTGGTGGCCGAGCTGAAGCAGGGGGACCAGAGGCGCAAGGAGAGCGAGGCCCAGATGCGGGCGCAGCATGAGCTGGTGAGACCACGCCGCCAGGAGCCTCTTTCCCTGGCCTCGAAGCGACAGTCATGGAGCTTGGGACAGGGTCGTGGGAGGGTGCGGCGTGCCAGCCGCCCACACCTGGCGAGCCCCCTTGCCAAAACCCAGAAGGTGCCGGGGTGGCGGCATTCCTGTCCCCCGCTTCCTGCAGCCCCTCTGCCGACTGCTCGCTTTCCTGCTGGTAGGAGATTAAGAAACTGAGAGAGCTGATGAGCGCCACTGAGAAGGTCCGCAGGGAGCAGTGGATGAGCGAGAAAACCCGGAAGATCAAGGAGATCACAGTCAGAGGTGGGCGGCCGCGGGGTCTGAGTGAGGACCGTGGCTTCAGTTACGTGGGGGCAGCGGAGCAGGTGATGCAGACAGACCTCAGGCGGCGCAGCCCCCTGGCCACCGGGCCCGAGCGACGGGTGGGGGGTCGCAGCACTGCCTGAGGGGAGAGGAGTGAGCTGGAGCCCCGGGGGGCCCTGGCTGGACCGCAGCCCTGCTGTCAGTGGGTGAGAACCGAGGGTCCCCTGCAGCGCTGGTGGTGAGGGCAGGGCCCCTACCTAGCCCTGGGCCGAGGTCAGGGGTCCCTGCAGCGCCCTGCCCCCCCAGGCCTGGAGCCCGAGGTCCAGAAGCTAATCGCCAAGCACAAGCAGGAGGTGAAGAAGCTGCGGAGCCTGCACGCGGCCGAGCTGCTGCAGGCGGACGAGCGAGCAGCACAGCACTATGGGCGCCAGGCGGAGGCGCTGCGGGAGCAGCTGGAGCGGGAGAAGGAGGCGCTGGCCCAGCAGGAACGTGAGCGCTCCCAGCAGCGGTGGGTGTCCCCGTCCTGGCAGCCTCACTGGGGGCGCAGGGGCCGAGGTCCGAGCACAGCTGGGATGAGCCTGGACAGCCCACCCCCCCCGAGGGAGGCCAGACCCCAGAGTGAGGCCTGGACCGCTTCATACATGGACAGCACCCTCCTTCCCCAAATCCGCCCTCAGGGCAGTGGGGGACCGGGACGTGCCCACGCTGACGGCAGTGCCAGGTGGGTGCTGAGCAGGCGGCCTCCCCACCCCAGCCCCAGCGGTCCTTCCTCCACAGCTTGGAGCAGCAGCTGGAGCAGGAGCAGAGGGACCTGCAGCAGCTTCGAAGGAGGCTGTACAGCGAGGTGGCCGAGGAAAAGGAGCGGCTGGGCCAGCAGGCC